ATTTTATTTTATTTGATTAACCAAATTGTGGCAAAATATGAGCATTTTTTATTGAATAAAATTGGACATATGGAAATACAGAATCGCTTTGCGCATTACACACGATGAAACAACTCTTAAAACATGAACACGAATCGAAGCGAAACGACAACCCATCTCATTTATTTTTAGAGTAAAACATTAAAAAAAGCAATCAATAAAAAAACGAGAAAGCATTCAACAATAAATGGTATTTTCGTTTCTGACGACGACGTCGACGATGATGATCATGATAATGGAAAAAACCTCAATGTGAACTGTGCAAAGAGCTTTTATATGGCCCAAAAATAAACAGAAAATCAATTGGAGATTTAATGGTTTTACATTGCAATGATGGTGGAAATTGATGCGTAAGCATGAATGTGTGTCAATATGTATCGACATGACACCACCATCTATCAATCGTGTCGTATTAAAAAATATTTTCTATGGTGAATAATGTGCATTATTTGCATATTTCACGTTGTGTATCATTAAGCGAAACGACACATATATGCATTTATAAAACGTTTTATTATATTCCAAGAAAAAAATGCACCATATGAAATATCCATGGGCGCTTGCAATGTTATGCCATTCTGACTCAATAGAATGAAAATAAAAAAGCTGCTTTTTCTATAGTAAACGATGATCATGCCCTTAGATTTTCTTCCTTGAACTATCTATCAAGCATTTTTTTCCTCTTGTTAAATGTAATTTTTACATCAAAATAACATATTTCCTTCCATATGGTTGCAATAAATCAATCTTTTCCGCCTACATCTACGATCATGCCTCGTGAAATTGATAACAATTGTTGCATATTATATTATTCACATTTCTTGTTTCGAATTGCATTTTTTGTAACTTCTGTATACTTCAATATTGCTTTGAAAACCTTCCGTTTTCCAAGTAAAAAATCATGATATGAAAACAAGAATCAAGAATGTCGTTTGGTTTTGATTTGTTATAACAGAGTAAATATAGAACACTTATAACGACTGAAATAATGAAACATACAATTTGACGCAAACTAACATAATATATGTATATCGAACCGTAAACTTAATAAGAAAACAAAACCACTGAGATACCGTTTGGAAATGTTGGTGATAAAAAGAATAGGGGGTTCGATTTGAAAACGTGATGGTATTTTGGGGTTCGCATAGGTTTGCGATTTATCCGTATTTATTCTCAAGTGTGTCCTTAGCCTTAGCACATCTTTACGATAACAGACATCTCCATAAATTCACTTTACTCGACTCGAGATCGAAAGGTATTTTGGATCACACTTTAGTCACACCAATTATATGAGTTTTTGGTGTGTTACAACGAACTTAAGCAAAAGTTTGTGTATTATATGCTCACCTACTGCTGAATCTGAACCGACGGATGGATCCGGTCAAAATGTTTGGACATACCAGCCAACGGTATTCAATTCATGTCTACCATACTCAAATCGTATATAAATCGATATCTGTGTTTCCTGTTGACTTCAATTTTATCAATGTCGGCGTCCACGCACAACCATTTAAATCATAAAAGCGACGGAATGCATTTCAATGTGGGTAAAAAGTTTCCATGGAGCGAAACATAAAAAAGTTTACATTTCATTTCAGCAAAGCAATAAAGTTCGATTAACAATAAAAGGACGTGCTATCTTCAATAGCAATGGCATTTGAATTGAAAAATGGATTGAAATGATTTTTTTTCCGACGCCGAACGATTAGCGAAAATAAACCGCAGTAAAATAAGCTGTACCCTACCTTATCGAGCATAGCAATTGGGGATAAATTAAATCCAAACGACTATCAAGTTTATCTAAAGATAAAGTACACTTTGGCCAATGTGCTGAAATGCTTCTTTTTCTACATATCGCAATCAAAATAGACAGGAGTCTGGGTAGTCTACCAGATTTTCTTGGGATATTAGTACCTTTTTGCTTGAAAGGGCAAATATATTTTGAGCGAACGTATAGCTTTAAGTTATTAACATTCTGAATTCACAAATCAATTCGTACTTGGAATTAAACAAAAATATATTTGCCGGTTTCTGTAATTCAGTAAATAATTCCAAATAAAATGGTGTTCTGTGATTCGATGAAATCAAATGAGAATATTTTTGGGGTTCATCCATTCTACTCGACGACTAAATCGGAGGCATTTCGAAAACTTAATCAATGTCCCAAATATTATTCATATTCACGCTCCGTTGTTATGTTTCACGAATTTTTGTTTTAACATTTTACCTTATTATCTTCATCATATGCATGAATCTCGCTGATCAAAGCATCAACATCAAAAAAACGAAACAAAGTCAATTTAACCAACAAAATTTACTCCATGTTAATTATGGGGATGCTTTGGACGGTTCGAATAATATAAAGTTTGCGAAGACAAGAAGACTCATTCCCATTCCAAATTCCCGCAAGTTCTTTTCACTACGGGAATAAAATTGCATTTAAAAATGATGTATTAAGAAGATCAAAAGGACCATGGGCGGAAAATAAAAAGGACTAGTAGAAGTAAGTTCAAGTTTTTTGTGGTGGTTGATTTTGCCTTTGATTTGATTTTTTTTTGTTCAAACTTAATGAATATCATCCCAATCGTTTGTTCAAAAACATCGAAAAGGTTTCGTATCCTGTCTGAATTATGAGACGCCGGCAGTCAAATTTAGTCATACTAGAAATCTGAACCATACAGCGCTTTCTTTTACATGGTATCACGAGAAGAACGAACTTCTAATAGAAAATTGGATTACGTCCCTACGTTCATTTGCTTTGTATTTGAATCTTTTTCATTATTCGAGGTATTAACATCGGTTGGAAGTAATTATTGTTCATGATAAGTTCCCTAATCAAATCCATAAAAAGAGTGACAGTGTGGTTAATTCGGTAAATGGGACAAACTAAAAAGTATTGACATTATTTAAAATTATACATATATATTTGTAGCACTATAAACAGACATAGAACCACTTATGCGAAGCCAATATTGGAGGGAAAGAACTTTTTAGATGAATTGCTTAGACAAAAAATGTAGATTATAATTGTCCGTTTCCTACTGACTGTCGATGAAATTTCACAAGAGCAAGAAGATGAACACACTCATATTATATGAGCCATACTCACAGAAAAAGTGGAGACGGTTTTTCCGCAAATTATTGCAGAAACAGCAGAGCAGCACTAAAAACGTGTTTTTTGTAGCTTATTTTGACAGCTTCGTACAAATGTGTGTATTTTGACGTTTGACATTATTTGTCATCAGTTAGACAAAAAATTAGAGTCAATGTAAGTATTTATTTTTTGAATAATTTTTGTAATGTCGTTTTTGCAAATTAAATATCCTCATTTTTGACACAAAAAAAAGTATTTTTAATAGCGTTGTTGTTGTTTTTGTTTTCTTTTGATTTATAAATTACAATGACATACTTGATGTGATGACATACGTATTCATTACAATACATAATGCACATTCATATTTTGTGTGATTCTGGAATCAATACATTTAAAAAACATCATTGATGCAAAAAATCGAATATTTTTATCAATAGGTGCTTTTAGAATTAGATATATTTGGTAATATAATTTTTTTATTCTAATATTTTTTATTTAATACTTACATAAATTTCATTTTTATTAAATCGAAATTGATTCCAGAATCCCACAAAATATGAATGTGCATTATGTATTGTAATGAATACGTATGTCATCACATCAAGTATGTCATTGTAATTTATAAATCAAAAGAAAACAAAAACAACAACAACGCTATTAAAAATACTTTTTTTTGTGTCAAAAATGAGGATATTTAATTTGCAAAAACGACATTACAAAAATTATTCAAAAAATAAATACTTACATTGACTCTAATTTTTTGTCTAACTGATGACAAATAATGTCAAACGTCAAAATATACACATTTGTACGGAGCTGTCAAAATAAGCTACAAAAAACACGTTTTTAGTGCTGCTCTGCTGTTTCTGCAATAATTTGCGGAAAAACCGTCTCCACTTTTTCTGTGAGTATATATATTCTCCTGATTGACTCACAAATTTAAGGTAAAACCATTTGAGTAGTGGAACATGTGATTTTTTTTGGTCGCATCCATAGGCGTCTGTTGTGATTGAAAAATGGTAATGCAGCAAAAAAGAACCCAAATTGATGCATACACAAACGACAAAAAGTCTTCTGTGATATATCAAAGTTAAAAGAGGGTTATTCCACAAGACATATGCTTTTTTTCTGTATGACAAGCCATCGTTGGCGTCGTTGTCGCTTCGTAAGATTACTCTTTCGATTCGCACTGTCGACGTTCAATCAAAGTACCAATCGAATGATTTCGATTGCCGTATAAAATCAGCCATATAACTAACAACAGAGATTTATTTCGAACTTAGATAAAAGGAAAATACACAACGCCAAATTCGAAATTTGTACGCGCAATAAACCAGAATTGGCAAAGATACATTTTGACATGAAAAAGAGTGGCAAGAATAATAGAACACACAAAAAAAACACACACACATACACATTGATGCTCTGTGTTTTTCCCATCGGAGTCCTTGTCGAATCAGATAGAGCTAACAAAAAAGAAATTGTGACGATACACACTACAATACAATGAACAATGTTAAATACGTGACTGCTATTGATTTGCAGCTGATTTGATTTGCTTCAGTGAAAACAGCGAAATGCGAATTGGTAACTGAGGGAGAATGTAGAGGATGTACACGTGAAAAATCTTAAACTAACGTAAAAACACGAATAAATTGAAATTTAATTCAAGATGAATTTTCGCTGTTTTTAATTTTATGTATATCCAATTGCTAAATACCAGTCGTTGTGCGAATCGGGGAAAAGAAATAAATGAAAAAAAAACGAAGGAAATCTTCGGCTTTTCAATAGATATATAGATACATATCATTATGCTTTATTTATTTTAAAAAATACGCAATTTTATGTGCTCGTTTTCTCGTTTCAGAAATTGCTGCGAAAATCGAAGTTTCGAGCGTCTGTGAATCGAAAGAACAAATATAAGAATTCTGATATACGATTCAATGGCGTTTATAAAAAAGTACATCTGAGAGAATAAACCGACCAAAATAAAAAGTCACAAACACACATTGAACGAATTGCTTCGAAAACTGCTGATTTCGTACCGATAAGTGAGTATCATTTTCCCTCTTTCTCGTTTTGTGTTTCTTTTTACTTTTCATCCTTTCAAGGGTAGACCCGGCGTAAGTTGAAAAATGAACGGAATTTTAAACGAATTCTCACAACATTTTTCGTTGTACATATTAGAAAAAGTGATGCGTTTTTGAAATGCTATTCTCAAATGTTGAATCGATTTGCCTATCAACTTCGCATAAAACCGAAACATTAAACCTTAACACGCTGCACGAAGCCAACGCGTGATATTTCATATCGATTCAAACGGTGAGTGAGACGAAAAAACAGTGGAATACGTACATTAATCGTTGTCATACAATGACACATCAAGAAATGGTGTGCGACGGAAAAAAAGTGTCGATTGTGACAAATTGTAAATTCAGTACGGATGAGTCTCTCTTGGCATTTCATCATTCACCTAAAAATAGCCCTCTCATATCCATGCAAAAGCATTCTATAATCGGAAGACAATCAACAATGATAAAAGAAATTCTGCGAATGGACAATTTAATGATGATGATTGTTGGAAGGTCGAAAGATGAACGTACATCGCTCTGCAAAAATGCTCAATAATTCTGTCAAATTTCGCAATGAAAATGAGAATCAAAGTATACAGCATCCATGCGTGTCGTGTCCATGGCAAAAGCCAGAGATGAACGACAGACATATCAAGTGTAAAGTATATGGCTCACAGACTCATAAAATTCGATTTCAGCCACATGACTGATTTTTACTTCTTCATTGATTATCAATCTTGTGCTCCGCACAAAAATACCCTCTGGACTATATCTGTGTTTGTGAGTATGTTTGTCTCTTATCGTCTATATAGTGGGAAAAATTCTTTTGATTGGTTTTGATTGTGAGGTTTTAAATGTTCTTTTGTGACGCAGTCGATGTCACCATTATATTTTTCTATCTTTGGTGTCCAGTGTCACTGGTGTTGTCGTTTTCATTTTCAGTCTTATTTTCCATCCTTCAAACATTTCAAGTGTTAATAAATGGAATTATCTGTGTATTCTTTCTCGATCATCTCGTTGTAATCATAGTTCATAACCATAGCTGCAAGCAGTTCCACTACGAAGAACGCTTTTATTTGATTTTTTATTCCATTCAATTTCACATATTTCCTTCTTCATCTTCTTTTTTCTCTGGCATTGGTTTCTTTTGTTTGTTCTAGCTTTTGTTCCGACTGTATAAGCTACAGCTAATATATTCCAGGCGCTTTTAACCAATGTGTTACACTACTTGTTTAAAAATCGAAATACTTCCCTTTGTATTGTTCGTATGGAGTTTAAGAGATAATCGTTTTTCTCTCGCTCCCACTTATTCCCTTTGAAAAGTTTAAGACCATTGTTGTACATCTAATACCGTATTGATTTTTTATTTTCTTGCTTTTGAAATCAATCGACGATACATCATACAAACAATTTACTGAATGTTATAGAAACCTCAAATTTAAAAGTTTTGGACCTTATGATGAATTTTAAATAAAATATGTAATCGGTAGTGAACACGCACAACTACATTCATTTCAATATATCAATTCAATTTCCAATGTTACCTGCAATAATGAGAATTACTCTCCATTTAGTTTTATCAAGTATAAAAATGTGACAAGTGAAATGCTGTTTATCCATTGAAAACTTTATAGACTTTTCCACTTCAAACACCGCCAATGAAGCGTTCATTCAATGTGTTCAATATTTGCACATCATCAAACATTTCAATAAAACTTTTAACTGTTGTCCAACGATATATTGATTCCATTTGATTCAGCAACCCTGGGCACTTGATGGCCTATAGGGAATCGAACTTTTGTTCTGAACATCCGAATCATAATCATCACTCCACTCGGAAATATTTATTCGATGCTTGAGAAGTTGCTACGCATCATTTTGTTTCTTGAATGTTTTCGGTTATGTTTTATGTACAATATATTCGTGCCATGAAAGATGGTTATTCCCTAGTGTTTAAGTGAAAAACACATACATAATACATGGTTATTGATGAGACGTAGCGCAGAGTATATTTTATTGAGTATTGTTTCCCAATGAGAACGAAAGTAAGTTTTGTTGGTTATAGACAACTTTAGCATTGTGTATTCAAACCAGTATTGTTTTAAATTTGGTCAATTTTTGCTTAAAGTTTTTACATTGAAAAACTCGAGCCAAAATCTGGAGATTGCCAAAACTCACTATCATAAATATCACACCGTGTCAGTTTATACGTATATTCTCCACCTATCAAATATGGATTTGTTTTAAAAACATACTCCAAACTCTAGTCTACGCCTCATTGATCCTTTGTGCGTGAATCTTTGCTTTCATTTGTTTTTTTGCTATATTCAAATTAAATTTTGAAAGCAACATTTATACGGAGCATAAAATACAAAACTTCCATATAAAACCGGAATGGCAAATTTTGATGTACATTTATTTTGCCATCATACACATTACATCAAATTAATCATTCAGTGCCATTGTTGGAAGGTTCAGACTCCGTCAATTTCCGGTGGAAAAAAATGTAATAAAATTTGACCTTTTGAGAAGTTCTAAGACAATTTTCTATTCGAATTCACTTGGTCGCTTGAATGAAGAAGGGAAAAAAGAATTTAAAAATTGACCAAAATCAACTTCATTTGAACAGTTTCACAGTCCGACCGTTTTTCTTTCAATTAGGAAAAAAATTCAATTTTCTAGATCGAGTTTTCTTTGCAATTTATATTACGAATTTATTTAAATAGACAAAAATTGAACAATTTAATAATTTGCCAATAGAAATTTTATTTCTATTTTTCTCTTTTTTCCCAATGACCGATGTTATTTTCACCATTGTGACAGCCTAGATGTTTTTTGTGTTTTGCACATGCAGAACTAACATTTATACGGATTCTGATGAATTTTCGATGGGGCTGTAGCCGTGACGAATCATGAATGCGATAGGTGTCAAGCCATCGAATTTATGACACATTTTATATTTTATGTTATGATGTTATGGTTGCCATGAAAAATATGCATAAATGGACTATGAAAATGGAAATCGAATTGACACTTAGTGTTCGTTGCAGTATGGCCACAAATCGAATTTTTCAAGTGTTCAATTTTATGACAATTTCGTGTTTATGCACCTATGCATTGAATTTTAAAATTCATTTTTATGCAGCACTTTTGAAAAGTGTGAGTAGCAAGTAAATGGAATTATTAAAAAAAACTCTGTCAGAATTAGTGTGATTGGGTCGAGTGCTTGTTATTCATGAGATAGAGGCAAGTTTTTAAACGAGCAATGTATACATATACACACAAAAGTGGTAGCTAAACAAATATTGAAACTTCCAAAGCTCCGTCGGGTTAAATAAATGGATGGACACTTTTGCACGTTCGAAATAAAATTTTCAATATTTTATATAGTGTTCAAGGAGTTTAGTAATTTACCTTTAGTAGCTCACCACAGGGTGAGGTGCCGTGCGATACGCGTAATATGCCGCATGGAAAAAAATGAAAGTGGAATACTAAAACGTTTCAGTTATTATTATCATGCGAAGCGTTATACACCTTTCAGACGAAAGAAATGCATAAAATAAACGGATTATGGATCAGAAAGAACAATTTGAATCCATTTTGTTACAAATCAAAATTCTCTAAAAAAATTGCTGGATGTCTGAATTGGAATTGGCATACACATAAACACAGATTCCGGTGCCAAGGGAGAATAAGAGACGAATTCTCCATCTCCAGAAAAGGCATGATAAAATTTAAAATGCAAAATACAAAATGTAATTTCATTTGAACCATTTGAATGTTGCTCGGTTTGTAATTAACTTGTGTAATATTTTTCGTGCAACGTTTTAATTTCTTCTATACCTAGCTCTGTTTCGAATCCTCCATTTTGCCATCATTTTAAACGAAGCACATAAGAATGAGAGTGTGCTTGTGGTGGTTGTGTGGCAACAAAGTGATCAACAGATAAAATTGTCAAAAGCTGGGCCAACCAAAAGTTATTACTGAAATTGAACAAAAAAGCGCACCATCCTCTGGAAATAACAATCAGAAAGTGAGTTCAGGAAATAATCACATCTATTCAAACAGCATGGAAAATTGTTTGTCCTGCATTTGAAACATGAGAAAGTTTTCTCATTTGAAATTAAAGAGCAACACACATACACAAACTATACAACGGAACAACAATTCACAGCATTGACAATATCAATAAACCGGTTTTGTGGCAATTCTGTTCGAATAGTTTGTGACAAATTCAATGTTCTGTTCACTGTTTGTAATTCTCGTTCAACGTAAATTTACTGTCGCGTCACGTATCAAGCCAGATAAAACAAGCCGACGAAAATCATTTTTCATTTTGATCGTGCATCTGTGGTATGGACTGTATAAAACAATGTTTGTGTTTGGTGGATGAGTCAATGTCGATGCTCACTAAATTACTAAAACCATACATCTTACCTTGCATTCGTCAACGTAACGGAATCGATGTTTCTGCCATCGAACACAACTTCGATAAATGTGAGAATAAAAACTTTTTCCCGAAAAGTAAAGTTTTTATCTTCGACTCGAAATGCTGAATATTTCATAGAATGTATATACCAATACGACATTCGACTCGCATAGCTAGCACGACCAAAACTTTAAACATATAAAGTAGTTCTCACTGTTCAAGTTACTTAAGTTGTTAGTGACTGATGTCAACATAATACCATATTACGTAAGTAACCTGGCACCAGCGACAGAGGCATCATCAACTAAGATACAGGGAGTCGGAAAAATGATTAAATATTGATCGTGTTTAGTGAATTTGTGAAAACGTGTGTTTGTCATTAGGTCCATTTGAGTGTGCAATTTCGTGCGCGTAGAATATGTCGTGAGTTGTAGTACATTTTAGTTCTCAATAAACTTAAAATTACTAAACGATTAAATAATTAATTTCAACACTAGTACACTAGCACGTTATGCAGTCATGTATACAACATTTTCAACATCGCTTCATC